AACAAGGACGTCACAAAACAGTTGAGTATCCACAAGTGGCTTCTATGACAAAACCTGTTCCACATTCAAGTTCGGTCCCGTATCCTGTTTATCCAAAGCGGAAACGAGCGCCCTCTGTTGAATCGACCGTTACAAAAAGTGAGGAGGAATTCAAGGAGGAATGCGAGGAAGACTTCGAGGTGGAATTGGAAAGACACCCAAAACTGTTTACACAATCCGAATTTAATGATTTGGTGCGAGATCTCGACTTATCGAAGGAGAAATCCGAATTGCTGGCATCACGCTTGAAAGAACACAACATGCTGAGCAAGGAGGTCAAAATTTCTTGTCACAGGAATCGTCACAAGAAATTTGACAAATATTATTCTACAAAGGACAAGGCATGTTTTTGCCATGACGTAAACGGCTTGTTTGAAGAGTTTGGTGAGCCATATGATCCAGCTGAATGGCGTTTATTCATCGATAGCAGCAAGTTGAGCTTGAAAGCCGTTTTACTGCATCAAGGGAATGAGAAACCTTCTATTCCATTAGCTCATGCCGTTAATATGAAGGAAACGTATGAATCAATGGCTCTATTGCTCAATTTGATAAATTACAATCAACACAATTGGAAAATTTGTTCCGATCTTAAAGTGGTTGAAAATATATGTGTTTTTTGTGTAAATGGGACAGTTGAGCTCGTAAGGAACACTACGTCCGAAAAGATTGGCCAAAACGGGATAATTTCACAATTGGTAAAGACAACGTTAAAAATGATCCTCTTGTGGTAAAAGAACGCATAATACTTCCACCACTACATATAAAACTTGGGCTATTCAAAAATTTCGTCAAAGCGTTGCAAAAAGAAGGGCCGGCATTCCAGTACTTGAAATCAGTATTTCCAAATTTATCTGACGCAAAGATAAAGGAAGGTGTATTTGTTGGCCCACAGATCAAAAAACTGCTCAATGATTCCGCATTCAATACAGTTTTGACACCAGATGAGGAAGAAGCGTGGAAATCGTTCCAGCGTGTTGTCACAACCTTTTTAGGAAATTTCAGAAGCCCAGATTATGAGGAAGCCGTCGATGAATTGCTCAAAAATTATGAGAAAATAGGTATAAATAAAACATATTGTGTTTGTTGCATATTAATTTCAAATCCTTTTATTTCACTGAACACAGGTGTGAATATGTCTTTGAAGATACATTTCCTACATGGATTTTTTCCCGGAAAATCTTGGTGACGAGAGTGATGAGCACGGCGAACGTTTTCACCAACAAATGAAGATGATGGAACGTCGTTACCAAGGGTTTTGGGATGAAGCAATGATGGGTGACTATTGCTGGTTTCTGATTCGAGAAACAAGTTCAAAACATCGAAGACAAAGTCATTCGATTCTCAATCATTTTTAATAAAACCTAAATAAAATTCTAGAAAAGGAACTCTAAAGCTGTTGTATTTCAGCAACATTTTTAAGTGTTTTACAAAAATGCTCATAACTTCGACAATTTCCAACCGATTTCATCCATTAAAGGCTCATTTTCTCCGGTTTTGAATGGACTTTAAGGATAAATTATGAAATGATTTTTTGAATCTTTTTATCCCATTAAAAATGTTGATTGAAACAAGATTTTTATGGAAAATTCGCAGGAAAAATAAAAAAAAATGCTGTAAATTTTTAAATGACTTCAAAATTAAATTTTTAATTAAGACATAATATTCTAGTGAACGATAGCAAATTTATTTAGCTTCACTTTCATAAAAAAGATTTAAAATTGGTGCACTAGTTTCGAAGATATTGACATTTTAGTAATCGTACTTTTATCCAAAATTCAAAAAATCAAAATTTTTGTACATCTCAAAAATGGCTCTACTTTAATTTTTTCTGACCACGGCATTGAACTCAGCGTAGGATTTTGCATTGGAAATGATCATCACCTTACCGAGTTCAAAAATGCTGTAAACTAGTGTAATCATATGAAAATGACTCATTGAACCTGACTCTTTTGCGCACTGCCGATGCCCCCTATTTTGCGCCCAGATTTCGGTAAATCTTCAAGAGAACACGTTTCTCCAAACTGTTTAACAATCTTGAACACTGTAGATTTATTGCACTTCACGCTTTTTGCCAATTCTCGAAACGACAACTTTTCGGAAAACCATTTGTGCAGAATTAATCTGTGAGTTGATAAGCTGATCCGACCCATCGTTCGAAATTTCTCACTTTTTCGTCTGATGTGTTGCCAAAATAAACAATGTGTTTACACACTGAGCGAAATTTTGCAATTTTTCGTTATGTTTTAACCCTAAACCATAAACAGGTGTCCACTTCCTTTAATAAACAGTCCTTAGCTATTAGGTATACATAATATTAATATAAGTTTTACTAAAATAATAACATTTATTTTTGTATTATTGCATACATGGGGGGGTTGGTCCATACAAATTTAAAAAAAATGTTATGGTTTCAAAACCTCTCAAAATCGGTCCACGTAGTTAATGAATAGTCCCTAATAGCCCATAAACTGTATCATATTTATTTGTATCGGGGATAGTGCCAACTTCATGGAATGCCTCATAGCGGGTCGTAATAAACGTTAGTTTGAGAACCGCTGCTTTCAAATAAGTGGAATTGTGGAAGCGAAGAGCAATCGCTGATGCCACGGTTCGATAAGGTTCGCCCTCGAAAGGTCAAATAGCTTCGAAATTCGGAATGAAATCATTAGCCGGATTATTGGCTTCCTGCAGAGAAAGGAAAGAACAACCGAAAAACCCTTAAATAATGAAGTGTGTTTGCTCTTGCTGCATGGCTAATTAGCGATTCCTTGGGAGGGAAATTGGACCGTGCTTTCGATGCCATTTTTTTTTCGGTGTCGTGGCAGAATTCCACTTAAAGGGTGATACGGTCAAAATTTGGTCAAGGGAAAACGCGTGTAAATCGGTGAAATCGTTTATTTAAAAAATCAAATTAAATTTCTTTTTAAAGTTCAATTAGCATAAAATTCAGGAAAAATATTCAGCTAGGCTTCCGCTTTTCCAAATCCGAATTGCCGGGCCTTACGCTTGACCCCTGCCATCAGATTTTGTACAGCCACCTTGTCCACCTTCTTCGCCGCAGAAAGCCAGTTTGCCTTGAACTGCTGCTCGCCCTTAGCAGTTTTTTTGGTCTTCTTTAGGTTCCGCTTGACAATAGCCCAGTATTTCTCAATTGGGCGGAGCTCTGGCGTGTTGGGAGGGTTCTTGTCCTTGGGAACCACCTGCACGTTGTTGGCGGCGTACCACTCCATGGCCTTTTTACCGTAATGGCAAGATGCCAAATCCGGCCAAAACAGTACGGAACAACCGTGTTTCTTCAGGAAAGGCAGCAGACGTTTATTCAAACACTCTTTCACGTAAATTTCTTGGTTGACAGTCCCGGAAGCTATGAAAATGCTGCTTTTCAAGCCACAGGTACAGATGGCTTGCCAAACCAGATATTTCTTTGCGAACTTTGACAGTTTCATGTGCTTGAAAACATCTGCTACCTTTCCCCTTCCTTTTGCCGTATAAAACTCCTGTCCCGGAAGCTGCTTGTAGTCGGCTTTGACGTAGGTTTCGTCGTCCATTACCACGCAGTCAAACTTCGTCAGCATCGTCGTGTACAGCCTCCGGGATCGCGCTTTGGCCGTCGTATTTTGTTTATCATCGCGATTTGGAGTCACTACCTTCTTGTAAGTCGATAGTCCGGCTCGTTTTTTGGCTCGATGCACGGTTGTAGACGATACACCCAGCTTATTTGCGGCATCTCGGAGAGAGAGGTTAGGGTTTCGCTTGAAACTACCGGCAACTCTCTTTGTCGTCTCAGCGGCTTCCGGTTTTCGATTTCCCCCCGATCCAGACTTCCTGGCTGTCGACAAACGTTGCCCAAACACTTTAATTACATTTGTAACGGTTGATTTGGCAACTTTTAGCGATTTTGCCAACTTTGCGTGCGAGTAGCTCGGATTTTCGCGATGCGCGAGCAAAATTTTGATACGCTGCTCTTCTTGCTTGGACGGCATTTTGACAACTGAAGAGTGAATTCCAAAATCAAAATAGGAGCAACATTCTACACACACACACCTTCAAAATGAGGGGTGTTCAGGTTTTTTAAATGCAAAATTGAAAGAAATACGTCAAGTTGATATTGACCAAATTTTGACCGTATCACCCTTTAAACGTGAAGGTCAATCGCATATTCAAAATCTCGACCAAGATTTCCATCGTGAACTGAATTTATAAATGAGTTAGCAAGAAACGTACAGTAGTTGCATTGATGACTTTTTTTTCCCATGACCAATTTGTATGTAATAGCAGACATTCAAATGTCAAATGCTGAAGAAAAAAAACACGGTCCAAATGAAGTGAACATCGGCGTCACTTTTTTTTCGAACCTCGTTACACGCCCGACAGTTTCAGCCGTAATCAAATATGACACCTCGTGCCATCACGAAATCCCCACGCAAAAAATGAAACGAGTAAATTTAGATTGAAGTGACGGTTGCGCAAGAGGATTCCATTTCCCATTCCATGTCCCTCCCACACACCAAATTTTCGGCGAAACAGAAAAACAAATTCTTTTGCCAGAATCCCCTGACAAATGCTTTACGGCATCATCGGGCCAACCATCGCGCACTTGTCGCACATAAACTGCCGAATTCCTGCTTTCAATTCAGGTGACGTCAGACGAAAAAAAAAAAGCGAAATTCTCTGATCTTATCACCATAAAGTAAATCCTCACCGCACAGAACCCAGCTTCCGTCTGTTCTCCACGACCACGGTGAAGAAGCCGGAGACTGCTCAGTAGGCTTTTCCCCGATTCGCAAGAAAGTGCCATGAAAAATTAATTCCTGCCCCGTTATGGAACTGTTCTTTTTTGTTTGCCTCTTGCTCAAGTTCGACAGCCATTTATCAAAAAACACCTGCGTGCCGGCCATTATAAATTCTCTTTATAACGATTGAATTTTTTTTGTTTTCTCTCTGTTCTTCCCCTTCCACAGGTACAACTCCAAGCTGGCCCTGCTGGCACTGCCGAGCGTCATTTTCGAGCCGCGGTTCCGCGGCTCGGTGCGCAATCTCGTCTACTCCGATCAGCCCGGAGTGTCCCCGCGGCGGCAGGAGATGCGCCAGCCCCGGGACATTAAGGTGAGTTGATTGCGGAGATTGGTTTCGGGGATAACTGTTTTCAATCGGTTAATTAATTTTTTGAAATTTAAGTTTGTATTTACCTATTATTTTTAATATATATATATATATATTTTTAATCATCTGACAAATTTTGTCTAGAGTCTGTGTATAAGAGTCACATCCATCAATCATACTTTATGTATTTATTATTATTATAGTCCATCTGACTCCCTAGTACATATGAGGGTGTCGCTAATTCGGTGGCGTCTCGTTGAGTAAGTACTACATGAAAATTTCCTTCCCTATCCCTAGTAACAGCAACGAAAGGCATGGCCGGGGATAGCAAGTCATGCTTTTGGTATCATTGTTTGGATTTCAAATAATGTTTACTCCGCAGCATTATTCCTGAAATCAGCCTTACTAAAAATTTCAAAAGAGACGTCATTGTCACTAGTTTCCAATCTACGAAGTATACCGTAACAACACTGAAGCTAACGCTAACATGTTGATCGCAAATTCATATCAAATCCTTATCAAGATCAGGTGTTGTCGTCGGTGAGGTCACCACCGGGATCGAAATCTTATGACGGCAAGTTGAACGGGAACTTGATACTAATTGTGTTTTGCTCGGTGGCCTTGTGGCGACTAATTTTGCTTACTGAGCAGAAAATGATGGGTTCAATATCAAGCTCCCTCACATAATAGAGTAGTAGGTGCTCTGAATGATGTTTGAACCGTTTTTAGTTTGCACGTCGTGCAGATTAGCGGGGTTCAAACATAAAATTGTTCAGATTAAAGGCAGGCCAGGGGGTCCACAATATAAAACAAAATAAAATAAAAATTTAAAAATTATAAAAATAATTAAACAAAACAAAAGTGAATGAATTCTCTACTATTCTGCCCACCATACAAAAGGTCTTGGTGACTTTAACAACTTTACCAAAGACTGTCCTAAAGTTGTCAGAACTTTTCCGACGCTATTTGTCTTTACCTAAAGATCCTTAAACTTACCTAAAGTTTTCTGAAGTTTCTTGAAGTTCTTTAAAAATTCCTGTAATTTTCCAGAAGTTCGCGGAACTGTACTGAAATTCTTGGAACTTACCCGTAAAGACCTTTATTCTTTCCATAGTTCTGACCTTTTCTGTTTTGTTGTGTAGATCGTATAAAAATACTATGCAGTTTACAGAAATTTCTCTACGGTCGCTGCAAATGGCAAGTCACATTCGGTGGATACATAAGGAATATATTCAATCAGATGATGATTTGTGTCAAGGACAGATAAAAGCAGTGGACGTCACTAGAAGCTCCAACGAGCATCTACGAGGTGACATTTAGGTTGACGTACTTTCCCTGCTCGATCCAATTCGTTAAAACCTAAACAATGAGGAACTCGCCGCTCAATATCCAAAAACAGCTACAGCCATTACAAACCCATACTAAGTCAACATGGTGGATGATGCAGTCAACTCACCAGAAGTGCTTCGTTAAAAGCTTCGTCAAGTTCAGAAGTCTTGATGGCAGCATGCAAATCTCAATGGAATTCTGGAAGCCGAAGTCAACCTTTCTTCGAAATCGGAAGCCCGGTCATTGCGTCCTAACTAAATTTGAGTTACCCTAGCCATTGTTCGCCGCTGTAACCTTCTAGCATTCCCAACAACCAAACAATCGAAAAACCGTAACGATAAATTCGGCAAACGGGTTCGGAACAATACACACATCTGCAGCATGAAACGAGAGCATAGCCAACAGACTTTCGAATAAACAAAATATATGCCGCATATAAGTGGCTCAGCACGGTAGCCCAAACAGGAAAAGGCCAAACGGAACGAGGAGAAAAGTTTAAATCGATTTCCCAACCCGCCTTCCCCCAGTTTCTGCCAGTCAGTCAGTGAAGCAAGATTGTTGCAACCCAACCAACAATAACGACTTGACCTCTACTCCTCTCAACACTACAACTCCACCCCTATAGAAGAAGTAGCTGTTTCAAGATGTTGGATCAAACCTCCTAGAAGACTCCAAGTTTCTTTCTCACAAAACCCGACAACAACCTTCTTAAATCCTTCACTCCAATTCATTCCTGTTTCGCCTGCATCCCGTCAAGCATTCTTTCAAGAGGGTTGATCCAAGGAAAGAGAAAAAAAAACCCAGGAAGTAAATACTGACCCAAAAACTAAAACAGAAATGAAATGAGATATCGAGAAAGCGTCCCACGTCCCCCTTCCAGCCGCCGTTTGGCAGAAGCTCGAGAACAGTTACTTTTCCGCTACACTGGCACTGGTGGCGAACATCGAAATTGCTTTCGGCCTCCTATCCTACACAACACAGTCAACGGAGTCAACAGCAGCAGCTTCTGGAGTTGTTGGCTGTTTTATTTCTTTATTCATTTCCTCCGTGCCGGGCCCGGTTCGGGGGTTGTTGTTCCGATTGTTTGGAATGGGAACCGGTTCGGATCTCGAAACAACTTTATTCGACAAACTAGAATTTATTGAAATTTCTTTGGCGCCGAACTCCCACTGACATGGCATGGACAAAGGGAAATTTTGGGTGATGGGGATAGGGTAGAAAGGACTCCGAATAAATGGGAAAACTCGCACCCAGGGATCTATTTTCTTAGGAAGGCTGGTCAAACTAGAAAAGGGAGGTGATACTTCACATATGCTGCCCAAGGGTTGGTTGAGAAAAGTGTTTGACTGTCGAATCGGAAAAGAAATTGAACCCAAATTTAAAGGTGGTGGATCAAGAATGCAGCAAAATCTCGCGGGGGGTTTCATCAGAATACCGCTTGGGGATTCAACAGAATCCCACTTGGGAATTTATCAGAGTTCGGCTTGGGGATTCATCAGAATTCCACTTGGATATTCATCAGAATCTCGCTTTGGAATTTATCAGAATCCCGCTTGGAGATTCATCAGAATCCTGCTGGGATTAATCCGGGATTCAAACGTTTAATTTTCCACTGATTTTGCCCTTGATTAAAGGTTTGAAGAGTTTTTTAAGGACTACAGATGACTTCTTGAGGCCATATAATTCCATGAAAAGTTTACACATATCTTCTAGATCCATTAGTAAGATGACCTGAAAGTTCCAGACATTTCATGAAGTCCACATCTGCTGTGCTGCCATGGTTTTTGTAAAGCTGGCTCTTCACTGATTTGTGAGATATGCACTGCCCCTCATCGCAAGTCGGTCCCAATTGCGTTTTTGTCAAAACTGAGTTTTCCAATGGAAATGAAATGGTAGCTAATCGCAAATGTGCCAAATGGCAAATACCGAATGCGCCAAATGGCAAATGCCGAATGCACCAAACGTCAAATCCCCAAAATTCCAAATTCCAGAAATGCCAACTGTCAATTGCCAAATGTGCCAAATTCAACCCAAGCAGCAAACTTCCGTCAAAATAAGATGCTGCAGCTTGATTGTGACTGAAATAAGTTGCAAAAAAAGTAACCACAACGGTTAAGTGACAGGTGTGCTGCTAGGAAAAATGTCAAAAGCGTCGAATGCCAAATGTGAAAATCATGAAATGCCAAATGTCGAATTCGCCATATGCCAAAAGCCAAATGCATTACGCGCCAAATTTCAAATGCCAAATTCCAACTGCCAAATACGTCAAACATCAAACGCCAAATGACAAATTACATTTGCCATGCCATATGTCAAAAGCGCAAAATGTCAAATGCCAAACGCCAAATCCAAAATGTCAAAGGTGCCAAATACGAAATGCACCAATTTCCAAATGCCAAATGTCAAAACCGTCAAAAGATAAACGTAGAATGCAACAATTGTCAAATTCTATATGCAATACGTGCGCAATGTCACATGCCAAATGCCAAATACCAAATGTACCCAATACCAAATACCAAATTTCAAATGCGCCAAATTTTAAATGCCAAATATGTCAAACGGTAAATTCTAAATTCCATACGTGAAATGCGCCAAATGCCCAATACCAATTGCCAAATACGTCTAAAACCCAATTTCAAATAACATATTACAAATGCCATACATAGAATCGAGGGGGACAACTCTATCTACGATGCAGAAAAGATTGTGTTTTGCTGTGTCTAGCTGCGCGCACGCTGAGTAGATAGAAAGAAGATTGATGACGATTCTGAGGATTTCCTGCAAAAATATGATGCTCGATGCAAGTAGATGCGACAAATGAAAGAAGATTTTTCGAAGATTGATTCGCTAGTGTGAGATTTGTTGAGCATCTTAACTTGAGATTTAGATGTATCGTCCCCCTCGCGTAGAGTGCACTAAATTCCAAATGTCAAATACTAAACGAGCCGAATGCCAAATTCGCCAGATACGACAATAGTGCAAAATGTAAAATGACAAACACGAAACGCCAAGTGCCAGATGAAACGCCAAATGTGCCAAATCCAAAATGTCAGAAACGCCAAATGCCAAATGTCAAAACAGTCAAACGACAAATGTAGAATGCACAAATTGTCAAATACCATATGCAATACGCACCAAATGTCAAATGAAAAATGCCACATGCGCCCAATACCAATTGCCATATGTGAAATGCGCCAAATTTTAAATGCCAAATACGTCCAACGTCAAATTTCAAATGACACATTACAAATTTCAAATGCGCTAAATACGTGAAATACGCCAAATGCCAAATGCCAAATGCTAAAAGAGCCGAATGCCAAGTTCTCCAAATGCGACAAAAGTGCAAAACGTCGAATGCCAAATGACAAATGCTAAATGACAATTTAGAATCGCCAAATGCGCCAAATTCCAAATTCCAGAAGTGCCAAAGGACTAGAGATGAACTAGCCTAAGGCTAAAAATCTCTTTAATAAAGCTTAAAAAAAAAAAAGTGCCAAAAGACAAAATGTCAAAAGCGTCGAATGTAAAATGCATCAAATTTCAAATGCACTAAATGGGGAAAAGGCAATGCCAAATGCCATATGCAGTACGCCAAATATCAAATGTTGAATTCCATCTTACAAATATGTCAAACGCCAAAAGCCACTAGTTAAATGTTCTAAATTCTACATGCC